TTTTTTTTTTTGGTTTTTTGAGACAGGGTCTCACTATGTAGTTGAGACTGACCTGGAACTTACTGTGTAGCCCAGGCTGGTCTCGAACTCACAGCGATCCTCCTGCCTCAGCCTTCCAAGTGCTGGAATTACAGGCCACCACACCCAGCTCTTCAGATACATATTTTTAAAAAGGAATCAAGCAAATCCTTAATTTTACTAGGAAGTTTGCAGTGTGGCTTATACTACTTTACACTTACAATATTCTTTTATTTTTTATATTGCTATCTCTGAGTATTCTGTAATTACATTACATTATATAATAGTTATTTCTTCTGACACAATTCAAATAGAAGTTATGATTCTATGTGAATACCACTTTTTTACATTATCACTTTAAAAAATAAGACTGTATGTTCTTAGCTGAATTTCATCTTCATCTGCTTATTCCCTTTTGCAATACCTAGAGTAGCATATATTTAAATCATATAGGCCTTTTAATCCTTTGAACAGTATAAATGTTTAGTAAGATTTCTTCTTGATACTAACCAATCCAAAATTAGCCAGTAGTATCCAATTGATAAGTTAAATTGATAGCAACTCCCTATAAGAAAAGGAAGGAAAAAAAGAGAAAAATATCTTTTGTCTTTAATGTTTAGAATCAAGAAAAAGTTGGAAAAGACCAATCACTATAAGAGTGAGATACAGTCCCTTGGTCTCCTCTTAGATCACATTATTTATTAAGGTCAGAGGTCAAATATCTCCATTTATAGTTGAGGAACACTTACATACTACAGCATTAATTATTATTTGGTAAATCCCAAACAAAAGTTAGAGATATGAATTCAATTCTCAATTCTTAATGTTTTTCTCTTTCTATTACTTAATTGTTCTAAGGCGTGCTATATTACAAATTTAGTGTTTATTTTCTAGAATTCCTTTGGGGCTGGGGATAAGCTCAGTGGTTCTGCCAACTGCCTTGCAAGTGCAAGGTCCCGAGTTCAATCCCTGGTACAAAAAAAAAAAAAAAAATCCTTCCTTTGATGATTCATATAAAAATTCTGAAAAAGTGCATCAAATTCTTGACATAAAATCTGGGGCCATTTTTAAGTAAATTTATTGCATATTAAGCACTTGTTCCATATTAACACTCTCAAAGAGATAAAAAACAATTTTGGGGACCAGGGCTGTAGCTCAGTGGTGCCGCCACCTGCCTCATAAGTGCAAGGTCCTGAGCTTGATCCCTAGTACCAAAAAAAAAAAAAAAAAAATTTAAATAGTCCAGTGGTCCCAAAACTAGCAGTAATTTCTCCCTTGTGCTTTCCACTAGTATACCCAGTTGCCACAGATAGCACCACTGAAATTTTTAATGGTCATCCTAAAAATGTGAAAAACAAGCACTTTTCCTCCTAATGCTGCTTCTCTGGGAAGACTAGAAGTCTCCACCAAATTAAAGAATAGCATTGCATCTACCCAGCTAGCCAGTCAAGCCAGGAATCTAAGACACAGCCTTAGTTCCTTGTTTATTTGTTCCCCTCACCTGTCACTCCTAAACCATTAGCAAATCTTCTTTGCCCTTCTTTCAAAGTAGTTCCAAATAATTGAACCATTTCTTTTCAACTTTTTTCTTTTTCTTTTTTTTTGGTACTGGAGATCAAACTAGGGTCCTTGTGCTTCTGAGGCAGGCAGTGGAACCACTGAGCTAAAATCCCCAGCCCTTCTTTTCAACTTTCTAATGCATATTCCCTACTTTTGATCTCTCCTGTATGGTTTGCAAACGATGTTTTCTTTCCAAAGGTTTCTCAAAGAGAAACCTTCCCTGACTGTTAATTTTAAAATTACATGCTCACATATTTTTCCATTTTAGGAGTAGCACTTTACCTATGTGAATTGATGAGTTTCTTTAGAAGTACTCAGAAAGTATTTGTTGGATGGGTGGATGATGGATGAATAGATGTTGATGGATGCTGGTACAGCCTGAAATCAGATTTATGGGTTCATACCTTAGTTCCACTGTTTAGTTGAGGAGTTAGGGTAGGCAAGTTACTTTACCTTTTTGTGCCTCAGTTTCTTATCTTTAAAGTAAAAAATGCTAAGAATAACTCCCTAGTAGAGTTAGTGTCTGGATTGAATAAGTTAATGTAAATATCTTAAAACAGTGCATAGCAATAAGAACTCAAGATATATGGTCATTTATTTATTTTTTTAAGTTTCTGGCATATTAAAATTGAATGAGTGGCATACCTGGAGTGCTCTTCAGAAAATCTTATTTTTGGGCCTTTCTGTCGGCCAACTAAGTAATAATTTCTGAGAAAATGACACAGAAGTCGTTAAAAATGTATGTATTTTGCCATGCCTAATACACACGTATCTCTGAAAGTGGGACAGTAAATTTTTAGTGTCATTTCTGAGGATTAACATGGATAGTTGTGACCTTTTGACATCAGGTAGTGCCACCATGCAGTGATTTATAATTTTTCTGAGCAGGTTGTTCTTGTGAGAAGACCCACACACCCTCCCCAGCATTCCCATCATAGTGTGTCCTCATTTTCTTCTGTGTATTTCCAATAGCAAGCAAAAAGTTCAGTGTGACTCTAATTTGTTCCTGCTTGAAAAATCAGCTTGATAAGAAAACTGAGAAATATGGTGATGCTAGTAAATACATTTTTTTAGAGTGGTAGTTCTTAGAAACCAGAGTGAATCATTTTGATTTGATACAATATGGAGTGGCAAATTTGTAATTTAGTTCCATGGCATAAATATTGTTTACCATATGCTATCTATAAAAAGAAAAATAAACATGCTGTTTTGGCAGATATACCAACCAATACAAAAATTTCATGTGATCGGGGAAATTATGTTATTATTCTAAGATTAGTTACTAAGATTTTGTGAATTTTTAAAAAGATACAGTGTAATACGACTTCTGCCTCGCTGGAGTTGGAAAGACAAAAACCACAAAACAGTAGCAAGTAGAATTAAAATCCATAAGAAATGTAGCCAGTATGTGATTTTCAGAAAAGACAGTGAAAAATATAAGCCAGAAGTACTCAGTGAAATAGTCATGGCTTGTTATGACACACAACAAATCTTCTTTAGTTGCAGGACCCGCTCTGCCCCCTAATTATAAAAGCAGTAGTTCCGATTCATCAGACAGTGATGAAGACAGTAGTTCTTTGTATGAAGAAGGAAATCAAGAATCCGAAGATGACACTGGTCCACCTACAAGGTAAGTCACATATATAATAAGCTTGGCTTATTACAACCTAGTGTGAGTTGACTGAAACAGAGAACTAGTAAAGGGATGTCATATTTAGATTTATACAGCACAGGAAGAAATCATCTAATATTTTCACTATGAACTATACTTTTTACAAAGAAGTTTACTATAGTAATGTATATCTGTGGAGGTACCTAGAATTTCAATAAAGTTCGTATATAAAGGACCTTTCCTTAAGGTTTTATTGAAGTAAATATCCTAAATAAATTATGGAATTTCTTGGGGGGTGGATTTAGCTCAGTTCTGGGGCCTGCCTTGCAAGCACAAGGACCTGAGTTCAATCCCTGGTACAAAAAAGAAAGTTATAGAATTTTTACAGTTGTATTTGCAGTGGATGTTTTATTTAAATAAATGTGCCCGGTGTGGTAGTGCACACCTGTAACCCCAGCACTCAGGAGGCTAAGGCAGGAGGATTGCTGTGAGTTCAAGACCAGCCTGGGCTACATAGTAAGTTTCAGGTCAGTCTCAACTACATAGTGAGACCCTGTCTCAAAAAGCCAAAATAAATAAATAAATGAATGAAGGAATGAATGATTTTATTCTAATCTAACTTTTAGTCATCATGAATCCATGTAAATAAGTTGAACTGTGGTGATATATACCTGTAATCCCAGCACTCAGCAGGCTGAGGCAGACAGATCACTGTGAGTTTAAGGCTGGCCTAAAGTATGTAGTGAGATCCTGTCTCAAAAAAAAAGAAAAGAAAAGAAAAGAAAAAGAACTTGGTTCTCTGTATATTACTGAGTAACAAATTACTTTATGCATTTTAAAGAGTATGATACAGAAAGAGAAATTTAAAACCTTGTCTTAATTGAGAATAAAAGCTAACTCATACAGTTTTTACTGAGAAACATCTAAGACAATTCAAAAATTTATTTAATGGACAAGGGCCCGAGTTCAATCCCCAGTACCCCCTAAAAAAATTATTTAATGGAATCTTTATTATTACAGAAAACATGGAATATTGGTATACTACTTTGAAAAAGTAATCAATTTCTATTTTAGGTCAAAAATAAATTCCAGCCAGCTATGGTGGCACATGCCTTTAATCCCAGCACTCAGGAAGCTATGGCAGGAGTAGCAGTGATTCGAGACTAGCCTGGACTATATAGTGAGTTCAGGGCCAGCTTGAACTACATAGCAAGATCCTGTCTCAAAAAACCAAAAAATAAAACAAAATAAAATCCAGATAAAGATTAAGATCTATTGTAGTATACTTTTTTTTTCTTATTTTGCAAGGTTTTTTGTGTTAGTGTGTGTACAGTGGTTAAAGTTAACGCTTCCTTTAAAATTTCTCTTTGTGAAAGTGTTGACGTACATGCATAAATTTATATTATTATTTCCAGAAAACAGAAGCGAAATCAGGATGATGATGACGACGACGACAACGACGACGATGATGATGATGATGATGGGTTTTTTGGACCTGCCCTTCCTCCTGGATTTAAAAAGCAGGATGATTCTCCTCCAAGGTGATAACCTATAATATTTCAGGCCAGCCTTTAAAAGATTTCAATTATGTGTGCTAATGCATTAAAGAATTGTGTAAGATTATTTTTTAGTTTGTATATTTCATAACACTTCAGATTAATCTTTCGTAGGGAAAAATAGTTGTTCCTTATACTAAAAATATTACATCCTTATGGTACTTATGGATTATAAAAAAATCTTCATTTCTTATTTGATACTCGAAAAGTGTTTAATGGTAGGCTGCGTAGAATGTACCTCTATCTTCCCCCCGTTAAATCTTTAAAGTGACACACATGATAAGTAGTAGACCTAGGGCTTGAATCTTGAGGTTTGGACTTCTAATTCAGTTGTTTTCTTAATTATATATTTGTAGAGGAAAAAACCTAACATACAATTTGAATAACATCTTTGAATCTCAATTTTATCATTTATAAACTAGGATTGTGACGTGTACCTTCCAAAATTGTTGTGATGGTTGAGATTTTCTGTTTGTATGCATACACTTGTGTGTGTCTTATTGGTGCCTGCTACAGAGTATAATGTATAATAAATACTGATTCTTCTCAGAACTATAAAGATTTTAAATACCAAGTGTAAAATTACTAAATTATTTGTAATTCATAACACTATAGACCAGTATGCAAGAACAAATAGAAAAAATTCATATTTATTTGTATTCATAATTTTTAATCACATTTGGTAAGTCCTAATTTCCATGTAACTCATAGATAGAACACCTTTTTTTTTGGTATAGTCCCTAAACTAAGAATAATTTTTATATTTTTAAATAACAGTTCCAAAATTAAAGACAAATAAGCCACAGAGACCCAAATGACAGAGACAGCAGAGCCTAAAATTTACTATCAAGCCCTGAATAGAAAGTTTGCTGACCTTTGGGATATAACATTTCTTTCAAAAAAAACACTTTATAATTGGAGTGTCTCTAATCCAAAATCCAAAATGTTTCAAAATCTGAAACTTTTGAGTGCCAATATAATATCACAAAGTCTGAGGGTTCCAGATATACAAACTTGCTTCATACACAAAATTATTTAAAATATTGCATAAAATTACCTTCAGGCTGTATGTATAAGGGATATAAAAATGAATTCATGTTTAGATTTAAGTTCTGTCTCCAAGGTATCTCATTCTATATATGGAAATATTCCAAAGTATAAAATTCTAAACACTTCTGGTCCCAAGCACTAGATCTGTAACAGTTTGTTTCTTGAGGATTACATTTTGCCAATAATTACATCTATGTGTGATTTAAAATATACTTACTAGCATATTTTAGAGTCAGAAATTCTTATACAACTCCAGTGTTCCATGATTATATCATATTTACTATATTTAAGATTTTACGTACCACTTATTTTTTTCCACAAATCTCCTGAGGCCAGAAAATTGATCAGTAATTGCATTTGTATCTCTGCTAGTAATTGTACTCAGAAAAAAGCCCATGCTGTGCTTCCTTATAGTTTATAAATTATAACTAATCAAGTCTTTCTAACAATCCCAAGATTTTCTGTCTTTCAAATGCAATAATACTTTTATGCTCAGAAAGGTTTTAGGAACCAGGACAGAAGGTTATTAAATGGTCAGGATCAGAACCCAGACTTTCTCTCAGTACTGTCTCTCCTCTGCTAGGAATCTTGCCTGTGAGGCACTAATCAAACACATTTCAAACTGGGAAATTCAGCCTAGGACTTCAGTGCCATTTGGGTTGCTAACAGTGGACAGTGACAAGCAAGGAACAACACTAGTACAGATAAGCGAGGATGGAAAAAATAAGAGGTAGCAAAGAGTAGAAGATATATTTTCTCTTTTATTTTTTCCCTATATAAAGTTAGGCACATAATTCAAGCACTTCTCTCTTTTCAGCTAGTTAACAATTCCCTCAGTGTGGCAGCAGGGCAGCTAGAAAGAAAATGAACTTTGACCACAAAACTTACTGAACGTGTTGACTTTTGGTATTTTTTCCTAAGTGGAGAGACTTATGCTGACCAGGTTGCTTTAAAGAAACAAAGGTGCACTAATTGACATGTGCTTAGCTCATTACATTTTCCTCTTCTTATAGGCCTCAGTGAATTAGTTGCATTCATCTCCATTTCCATGTTGTTATTGGATTATTAGGATACTAGATTAATTTTTTATATCACTGCAATACATACACCACCAATGAGTGATACATGTTGTGTGCACATACAGTATATGTCCTTGGAAGACCTTAATTTCTTCTTAAGTAGTGCTAACTACAGTGGTTCCTCAGGTCACAAACTTAATTTGTTCCAAGATTCTGTGGTCATGTTTGTCATCCATTGCAGAGTTTGTGAACAGAAGCAAAATTTTCCTGAACATTTCTGTTTGTGAACAGAAGTGTTTGTGAACAGAGGTATTACTATAGTTATAATGCCCCTAAAGTATTCAGTGGACAAAGAATATCAAATAAAGAAAGTCAAGGCACAAAATAGGAAAAAAGACCTTCACAAGTTTTAGTACATCATAAGGATTTTTTTTAATTGTATTAATTCGGTACATTTCTTTTAGGCATGCACCATTGTCACAAAGATTGAGAATTACTGGTTTAGTATCTAATTGACTAACAAATAGTTTACAATGCAAAAATTATGTTTAAGACACCTAGTAGAAAAATATTAAGCAACAGTAGTAAAAATGATGTATTAAATTCTCATTTCAACATTTGTTATTGATTTTATGATTGTTGTGAACTTTTATTCTGAAAATTGCTTTTAAAATCAAGGAGAATGATAAAGGTACATGTTATTTTTTAGGCCTATAATAGGTCCTGCTTTGCCCCCTGGTTTCATTAAATCTTCGCAGAAAAGTGACAAAGGCAGAGATGATCTAGGACAAGTATCATCACACTTCAACTCTCAGGTTTGGAAAATGTTCGTGTAAAGAATATGTAACAAATTAAGAACTTTAGTGAAACTAATTACTTGACTAAATATAACCTAAGACTCAGTTATATTTATATTGATTTAAGATTATAGCATAGATAAAATCAAAAGCTGTTCATAAACCTAAGCTGTGTTAGTTTTAAAAAAACAAGATTGATTATTCCAGGGTTTTTTTTTTTGTTTCAGTTTTTACTTTCTTGTGGGGTCAGGATACTAGGGATTTTTTTTTTTTCAGTTTTTTGAGACAAAGTCTCACTGTATAGCCCAGGCTGGCCTCAAACTCACGGTGATCTTCCTGCTTTAGCCTCCCAAATGTAGGCATGTGCCACCATCCCCAGAGTGCTGCTTATTTTTAAAGGGAGGCTTTAGAACATTAGAAAAGTGGAACATATGCTTAAGGAATCACTGTGATATGAACTATAGGAAAGAACACTGATGAGGTTGGTTTTGTATTACTGTGACTTGAACCCAGGGCCTTTCAACTGAACTACACCATGCCTTTTTTTTTGTAATTTTGGTACTGGATCTCACTAAGTCACTGAGTCGCTCAGGGTGGGCTCAAACTTACACCTTCTACCTCAGCCTCACAGAGTGCTGAATTACAGATTTTTTAGCCCACCTATGAAGAGCTTTTCGTTTTTGTTTTCATTTTTTGTAGTGGTTCTTTTTTGGGTTGTTTGTTTGTTTGTTTGGTACCAGGGATTGAACTCAGGTTCTTGTGCCAGTGCCACTGAGCTAAATCCCTGGCCTATGAGGATCTTTTTAATAATACTGTACCTTTAATTAACCCATCTCTAGTTCCTGTACATAATAAATGCACTGGTGGATAAGTGGTTTTTATGAAAAGATAAGTCAAATGATTTTGGAGTAAAAGATGAAGCCTGTTTTTTTTTTTCCTTGATAATAGCTGAGATTTATACAGTACATTACCATTTGAAATACATTTTTTCCATATAGGAGTCTTTGTTTTATCTTCTCTCCAGCCTCATAAAATATATGTTATTTGTATCTTCCTGATATAAAAGACTAAAGAAAAGAATATCTCAGCCAAATTCACAGTTCTTACTTATCAGAACCATAGCTTGCATACAGTTTTTATGACTTTAAAGCAGATAGTCTTTTATCCCATAGTGCCCTTCTACAAGTGAATTAATATAATCAGGAGACTCCTGCTCACCACTGAGAATTTACTGGTTACACTGAGGTCACTGAAAGTAAATACAGTGAAGTAGTTAAGATCATGAACTTTGAAGTTATTGCTCTTTCTTTAAACAAGTGTTTCTAGAGCACATACAGTGTATCAGGCAGATAGTCACAGAAGTGAATCTGTCAACAACCTCTTGTTCCTATCCTTCAGGAGATGTCCACAATCGAATTACTCTGGGCTCACCCTGGCCTAAGTGACTTCATATCCCATCTGTTTGATCTTCAGACTTCGGAGAGCCCTTGCCCTCTTTTGCCTCTTTTTGTTGTTGTTGTTTTGTTTTTTGTTTTTGTTTTTTTGAGACAGGGTCTCACTATGTAGTTGAGACTAACCTGGAACTCACTATGTAGCCCAGGCTGGTCTCGAACTCACAGCAATCCTCCTGCCTCAGACTCCCGAGTTCTGGGATTACAGGCATGCGCCACTGCGCCCAGCTTTTCTGCCTCTTCTTAACATAGCAGCTGAAAAAGTCTGCATGAGACTAAGTCAGATCATGTTAATTATCCTCAAAACCATCAAATTTTTCCTCCAGAAAATTTGGAGTCTTTACAAGGCCATATGCAATCTGGTCTCCATTAGCACTGATTTTTTCTTTTGCTTTGGTACGGCTACACTGGGTTCTTTGCTGTTGCTCTGCATATAAACTAGGCCACCTCCTACCCCTGAGCTTTTTATACCTTCTGTCCAAGTCTATCCAAAATGATCTGCTATCTGCCTACATAGCTGACCTCCAAGACCTTCAGGGAGTGGAGAAGTTGTTAGAGTATGATCTTCCCAACAAGTTCATCTCTAGTCTCCTGACTTAAATTTGCTAATCCCCTCTTTCTTTTACTGTTATCTCCTTCCTTTCTGTAATTTTCCCCATAGTATTTATCAAAATTAAATGTACCATCACTTCTCGGGCTTTTGTGAAGTAACATTAAACATACCATTCATTTTACTAGTTCTATCTGTTTATTGTCCTCCTTCCACTAGAATGTGGGTCCATAAGGACAATTTTTGTCTTATTTCCATTGCCTGGTGTACAGTAGATATTCAGAAGTGCTGGTTGAATGGCTGAGTAGGTTAGACTCAGGCCTTACCCTCATTGCACTTACAAGATAATGGTGACTATAGATATATATAAAAAGAACTTCTAACACTGAATGATTCAAAAGATGAGACAAAGTATAAATGACAGAGGAATCTAATCTAGTCTGAAGAAATGGGAAAAGATCTTATTCTCTGAGAAAGTGTCCAAAGTGAGTTGATGAAGTAGAACTAGATCAGCAAACGAGGCAGTGAACATTGCTCCAGATCATTCAAATAGTATATTTGAAGGCCAAAAAAAAAAAGTGTGAAGCAGAAGAAAATCAGGGTTTAAAGAAGTCCAATATGGTTAGAGTAAAAAGAAGGCAAATGATAAATGATAAGCTAGGAAGGTAGGTAACAGCCATTCCATCTTTTGAATCCTGTGGGAGCTTATGTCAATAATATGCAGGTAGCCGAGGATTTTGCTCAGCGGTTCTGCCGCCTGCCTTGCAAGCACAAGGACCCGAGTTTGATCCCTGGTACCAAAAATAATAATAATAGTAATAACAACAGCATTCAGGTTGTTAATATTTACCTAACATAGTTGTAAAGATTAAGTCAGAATAGTAGACATTCAATATATAATAGCTCATTATTATCATCATCATTGTCACTGTTGTTGCCTCTACTATTGATGCCATGAGAGTAGCTTTGAAGAATTAGGGTAAGTATGAGGAATCCTTTCTAATAAGGATGTTAAAGACTAAAATAAATTACAACAGGAAAGATTTCTGGCCATATGGAAGACTGGGCTAACACCCATAAGCAAGGCTGTCCCTGCCAAACACCTAAAGAGCTGGAGGAAAAACAGCAACACAGGCACAGCTAAGCTCCACAGGAAGAAAGGAAAATCCACTGGTGCTAGGAAGAGTGAGAGAATTCAAAGCCAGAGCCCAAGTTTTCATAGGCAGCCACAGAGAAGCCTTTGCTTCTAGCTTACTCAAGCAATGGAGACTGAATGGAGCTCATGCATAAAATCTACTGCCTCAAAGTCTTGCTCTATCTTTGAAAAGAATGCAAACAAAATTTAGGCCACTATCTTTAGGAAAGGGGCAAGCAAATGTCATGCATATGATCCTGAGAAAAGGAAGTGTATCCACCTTTCTATCTCACAGGAGGGTAAGTGTTAGAATTAAGAAAGATATGTTTGTGCTGAGCGTGGTGATGCACGCCTGTAATCCTAGCACTTGGGAGGCTGAGACAGGAGGATCACTATGAGTTCAAGACCAGCCTGGACTACATAGTGAGTTCCAGGTCCTAGTCTCAACTATATAGTGAGACCCTGTCTCAAAAAAAAGAAAAAAGAAAGATATGCGTGGTAAAATGTTAGTAATTGATCAAACTGTGTATGAATATATTGTATTTATTGTACTCCCCATAGTGTTTTTATATAGGTATAATTTTTTCTAAAATTAAAAATGAGGAAAAAGTTTTTCAAAGATGTAGCACAACTCAGCTTAATTTCACACTTAGACTTTTGTCCTAACCTATCTAGTTAGTAAGTAGGTGATGTATATAATTTCCTATATCTTCTATATATTCGACATCTCCTACATATTCTACATCTTCTAATGTGTCTTAGTAAATGTTGAGAGTTAAAGATGGCCAGTAGTGCAGGATATTATACCTGTTTAAAGTACTTTTGCTTCTGAATTGTTTTCTTTATAATTTCCCTTTGAACCTTTTATAAAAGACACATCTTTTTCATTTTTCAGATTTTTTTTCTCAGAGAAGAGGTTCTTAGTCCCCATTCACAGTATTTATCCCCAAATTAAGAAATACACAATAATACTAATGTTTTACATTTACTGAGCAGTTCCAGGTCAGACTCTATAGAGCATACCATGAGCATAAACTTAATCTAATCCAAATACCAGCTAGAACACTCTCATCTGCCTACAAATCCAACTCAAAATGGAACTTTGACTTAATGTATAGTACTTCGTTAGACAGTGTGTTGTTTCTGTAATTTCCTTGGTAATATACATTCTATGTTCTACAAATATGGAAAATGTGTTTCATACATAGTAATGAGTCTAGAAGTAAAGTCACTCTAGGGTTGGTTAATTCCATAGCCCAGTGATGATGAACCTTTTAGAGACTGAGTGCTCAACCTACAATCCAAAACCCACTTATTTATTGCAAAGTGTCAACACTGCAATTAAACCTGAGTACTGAGGTTGTTGTTTATTTTTTTCCACTGAGGTTTTATGCTAGAAAAAACAACTCATGCATTAACATCTTTTGTCTTAAAAGGAAAACACAGTAAATTCACCACCACTGCCATAGTCTAAGGGCTCCGGGTTTTTTTGTTTTGTTTTGTTTTTTATGGCAGGTAAATTCCTCTTGGGCTGATTTTTTTCATCATACCAAGAAGACTGCCAAAGTCCTAAGATTCACAAGCAATTAGCAGTGTCAGACACAGAAGCAGAGTAATCCTGTTCACCTTTTTTAGAGGAAGGAAAACCTTTCCAGAAAATTATTTGCTCATGTTTGACAAATAGTGTATCATATTTTCATACCTAAGTTAGAAAGATAGGCAGTGAGAAATGAGACAAAGTGATTGACTTAGAATTATCAACATTCTTCCCCAGGAGTAGAGCATGTCCTAGTTTCATGGCTTCAGAGGTGAACAAAATGCAGTGTTCCTTGGCTATGGATCAGTTTGTGGTAGGAGTTGTTATACTCCTCTAAATGAAAAGAAAACCAAGGGTTAGAAAGGTTAAATAATGTGCCTCAGGTCATACGACTAGTACAATGGCAAATGGGCCCTCAGATTAGGTCTAACACTACAGTGTAAAGGCTAATCCAGTAGAGTACATAATTCCTGTTGTATTTCTGAATAAAGTCTTAGACCTATTATGGTTTAGATCTAAAATGCCCCCCATCATCATGTATTTGGAAAGGTGATTGGACTATGGGAGTGGTATAGTTAGCTTGCTATTAAGAGGTGGGGTCAGGTCAGAAGAGGCAGGTCACTGGGATGTTGGCGATTTGGAAGAGCATATCTCCTTTCCCAGGTCCTCCCTTCACACTTTACATCCTGGCTGCCATGAAATGAGCAGCTTTCCTCTACCAGACCCTTCTACCATGACTTTGCCTTGGAGCTAGCAACTGTGGACTATGGAGTCAAAATAAACATCTTCTCCTTTAGGTTGTAGGTGTCAGGTATTTTGTCCCAGTGACAAGTACAGTGACTAAGAAAACACTTCTTTAAATAAATAAATAACTCATCCAGAACACCAAAATTAATTAATACCTAGATTTGGACTTAGGATTTTCAATTTAGTGTGTTAGGCTTACTTTTCTGTTTGCTTCTCCCTTCCCCCATTTAATTTATGTCTCCCAACAGCGTAGGTAATTCAAATTTCTAAACATTTCATAACAAGACATGTTGAAATTAATAAAACTTCATAAAAGTACCATTACTTTATTAGTTGGAAGTAAAAGTACCATTAGTTTATCCCATCTTCTAACAGTAATACTGGGTTGAGGCCATGACAGTTATAATTTTTAAAGTTCATATTTTTTTATTTGATTACTATGTCATCAAGTGTTTATGTAAATTATAAATACACTTCAGATAAATGTCTGTGATATCATATTACTATTGTAGAGATAAACTATAGACACTTATAGTTAAATTACTAAAAGTTGAATTAAGATCATGTATTTCCTATGTAGTGAGTTCAAGGCCAGCCTGGAATATATAGGGAAATCTTGTCTCAAAAAAAGAAAGGAAAAAAAATATTCAACCCTAAAGTAATACATTTCTTCAAAAAGAAAACAGGAGTAATACCATTTTACAGTTTTGCAATAAGAACCCAATGTGGCCTTTTATGCAAAAGTCTGTTCTTACTAAATGTGTGTGTATGATTTAGAGTAAGCTGTAAGAATAAATAATTGTGTAATTATTTGTAAAAATGTCATTAGAGGTTCAGAGAGAAAAACACAAGTAGAAACTTACTTTTGGGTATTAGCAGGGAAGATGAAAGCAAGACAAATGAATTCCTAATAGTACTAGTATCTGTCAAAGCTATCAGACTACTATGTCATTGTTATTTGTCTTAGTAAATTGAAGAACAAGTACACCCTTTAAGCTGTAGTGAATATATCATCTGATACCAAATCATACACATGCATGGAAACCATTTATCAAAATGACTTAATCAGAATAAGTGAATAATGACTTACTCACTTGTTACAGTACTATACCTTTAGGGTACATGAGATACTTTTGGAACTGAATTAACTCATTTGGGTCAGGGTTGGTTGATCATTGCACAGATTCTTGTTTCATAAAGGGTGATCTATCTCCTCCGATTGCCCTGTTTATATCTTATTCCAAAGAGCTTTTTATGCACCAGGAATAGAATTGTTTTCAAAGGTGTGATCACTGCCCAATTGGTAATAAGTGCAAGAATCCTGTGATTTTTTGTTTTTGTTTTTTTGCGGGGGGGGGCTTTTTTTGTTTGTTTTTGTTTTTTTGTTTTGTTTTTGTTTTTTTTTTTTTTTTT